CTCTAGAAAAGCCGATCTCACTGTGCCCAACATAAGCTTGTCAGGAGTAACCATACCTTCGAGAACATCCATTTCGATGCTTGGTATCACTATCAGAAATAACCTATCTTGGGAAAATCACGTGAGATCAATTGCTAGAAGTGCATCCCAAAAACTTTTTCTGTTTCGAGCCAGGAACTATTTCCAGTCAGCTGCTTATGATCTATAAGGCAATGATCCGACCTGTCCAGGAATACTGTTCCCATATTTGGAGTGCACCACCCAAACATACCCTGAAACTGTTGGGTTCTGTCCAAAACAGGGCAATTCGTCTCATGCCTCTCATGGATGATGCCTCGCTCACAAACTCACTCACTTTTCTGGAACACCGAAGAAAAGTTGGTGATCTGGCCCAATTCTATAGATATTTCCATGGACAATGCTCTTCTGAAATATCAACAATCGTTTCTATTTGGATATTGTGGCTGATGCAATCGAATGCTTTGCTGAGATTCCACGAAGTCAACAAGATTTGTTTTTCTCATGAAGCCATATTAATATTTATGTAGTAAACTGTATTTGCTGATAATAATCATCAGGCGCTGCTCAACTATAATCTCTATTATTTTCCTCAATAGAAATTGTTATATAATCATTTTCGGGTGCATCTGGCTTTCCTTTCTTGAAAATTTCACTTTACTCACCTTGATCTGGAAACACTCCTACAGAGAAACAACGGTTTATGAAAATGGTTGATGATTCAATGAAACATGTCTAAGTGTTTGTCCGATGATTCAGCTATTTTGATGATAATATATGCATATCGAGGAAAGGGAATTCCTTCAGTTTTCAAATCGCGATAACAACATCCTCATATGTCACAAAAAGCATGGAAAAAGTATCTCTTGGTGTGGACAGGCTTGAAAGACAATCTAATGTTTCAGTTCAGAAGTTTGGTAGATCTTGGATTATGTTTCTTGCTAAATTGGAGAGAAATATGTTTAATTTGTTAGGGTTTATGTTTACGACTGCATTGAACTCACTAGCAGAGTTTCTTTCATAATTAACTAACTCCCAGATGTCTTTGGATATTCTTTGTTGGAATTTTCTATGAATTTGTTATATGATTCTCCTTAAGCCAAAGTAATAGATGTTCAATAAGTATGTTCGTATTTTTTTAACTTCTTTATCAATATCATTTTTGGAGGATATACTGACTGCAGTGGGTCTCTTTTATGATACCATGTTCTATCTTCATCAACTGAATATGATTTCAATATCATTTTATTCTGCCATCGAGCTTTCAAAGGCTTCATTAGTTCCGAAGGGAGGTCAGAAAAAGGTCACCGATCATAACGTTGCGAGGATACTGGATGCCTCATCCGACTACATAGAACGAGTCCAGGACTAGGGGGAGCATTATCTGAGGAGTCGAACGACGGTGGTTGGACAAGGAACACGCGAATAATTCGTTCACCTTTTCAAGACGACAGATCCAGAGAACGTTACTCATTAGTTTTTTCAAAATGCCAATCAGATTAAGAACTACAACTCTAAGCCTACTGAGTAGTTGATTATTATCGATTATGACCTGATAAATTGATAGATAGATAGATAGATTTATTGGTCATGATATGTATACAACACATTTACGACAAGTCACAATAACAAAAAAGTGTATACAGGGTGGGCCACCAGTAACGCCTCGGTCTCTAGAATGCTAACCACTTATCTTCTTGGAATTCTTCCTCTCTAGGAAGTTGCATGTCAACATAGGCTACCATTTGAAATTATTTTGAAACATACAGGATGTCCCTAAAAATCACAAAACACTGAAGTTGAACTTTTCTCAATCGAACACCCTATATATTATTTCATTTTGAGATTCTCCCTGATGAGCTGATTTCAACGATCCATCATACTTGGGGTCTAGCAGTTATAATTACTGAGATATAGGGTGTGAGAAATAGAGATTTTCCAAGTTCAAGAATTTTTTGTGTCTAAACCATTCATAATTGGTCGAAACGGTTCACATGTCCCTATCTCAACTTTTGATCAACTATCTACTGACATTTAATTGAAACAAATACAGGGTGGTGCAGAATTCAGAATCTTGATCACCCGGTATATGTCCCAATTAAATATCAGTAGATAGTTAATCAAAAGTTGAGATAGGGACATGTAAGCCGTTTTGACCAATTATCGATAGTTTCGACACAAAAAATTCTTGAACTTGGAAAATCTCGATTTTTCACACCCTATATTTCAGTAATTATAACTGCTAGACCCCAAGTGTGATGGGTCGTTGAAATCAGCTCATCAGGAAAAATCTCAAAATGAAATAATATATAGGGTGTTCGATAGAAAATAGTTCAACTTCAGTGTTTTGTGATTCTAGGGGACATCCTATATGTTTCAAAATAATTTCAAATGGTAGCCTATGTTGACATGCAACTTCCTAGAGAGGAAGAATTCCAAGAAGATAAGTGGTTAGCCTTCTAGAGACCGAGGCGTTACTGGTGGCCCACCCTGTATATAAAATGGAATATGGAAAAATCACAGTTATCAATTTGAGTGCTTATAGAAAATTATATATTTATCAAGCAATTAAAAGGTCGATGAAAATTAATTTGGAACAAATCAGGCATCAATGAAGTTCATTTTCTGTGATTCAGTGAGTATATACCTTTCTTCACACATTCCACATATTCTTCGATCGAATAGTAGGAATTTCCGAGCAGAAATACTTCCATTGTTTATTTGAAATAGAATATGTTCAAATTCCTGACTTCCACCGGGAGAATGTTGAAGAGCGTATATAAAGTGCCTAAATCTTTCAAATCATTTCCATCAGGTAAAATATTGGGATTTGTGTTTTTTGATGATTATTTTTCTCAATAAATTTGTGGAGGCTGAGTTTGGTCAGGAAATTTTATTCTAGTCCACTAATAGCATGGCGTCAGCCCACTGTGATCATTCGTATAGTGATTTAGACTTTCAAGGATGTTTTTGCTTCCTCTAGAGACCCCGAGGGTCTCGTTAAAATTAATCAATTGGAACAGATACAGGGTGATCAGAATTCTGAATCTTCAAGCACCCTGTATTAATTCCAATTGTATTCCAGTAGATAGTGAATCGAAAGTTAAGATAGGGACATGTAAGCCGTTTCGATCGATAATGAATAGGTTCGACATAAAAAAATACTAAAATTGAAGAATCTCGATTTTGAGTGTGATGCATTGATGAAATCAGCTCTTCATGAAGAATCTAAAAATGCGATGAAATACAAGGTGGTCCATTTGAAATAACAAAGTTGCTAGTTGTTTCTGATAGGAGTGGCAACACTAGTGTTCTGTCTTCTCGTTCTCCAGATACTTCTGATAGGCCATTCACCGTGGATCACCCTGTATATATATCCATTTTTCTCTTCATTTCAACTGAGAATAATAGTTTTCAGTGCGAGAAAAATTTGGAAATTGACTTCACAACTGTCTGGGGTCAATGAAGGAAATTTTGAACATTTGTTATAGATACTTTATTCAATAATCTATTCCGTAAATTCATAGGAATACATTTAAAAACATACCATTCGAACTTGAAATCCTCTGGAACGCCTTGTTGGAATTCAAAAAAACTTTGCTCTGTTAATGTCGAGAGGGTTGTTCTGGTTAGTAAAGTATTGAAGTATGGATTATTCATTTTTTTCTGTGACGGGAAAGAAGTTTGGCATTTCATCTCTGTTGGAAGGTTATAAAATGTCACTTTTTATAAATTACTTTTTTCTCCGATTGGCAGCAAATATTAATTTTGCTGACACATATCAATCAGGAAAGTATTACTCTTCCTGCCTAGGCAGCAAAGTAGGTACTTTGCTTCCTGGGCAGCAAAGTGGTTACTTTGCTGCTTGATATGTATCAGCAAAATTAATAATCCATAAATCGTTTATAATTTCCTTCATATTTCATCCAAGACTTCTCCGGCAACAAATTCAACTCTATATTTTTTGCCACCTCCCTCATTTCTGGAGGTGTAAGTACTTCCAGGTAACTATCACTGTCCATTATATAATAATTTGAATGATCCGATATTTTTTCGCACAACTGTCAGAAATTTCATGAATTGTCAAAATATAATTATTATTACAAAGCAACCAACCATTCCAAAAACTGCGATTTCTATCGTATTTTATTTTAATTGAACATTACAGGAAAAATTAAGAGATCTATATATATCATTATGAACAATCGGAGAAAATAACTATTTTCCTGTGGGAAAAAAGTGAGTACTTCTTTCCCGGATATATATCACATATATGTATACACTGCTGATGGCTTTTGTTGTGCTATAGTTCCGAAAAATGAGTCAATAATACCGTCTTCGAGAAAGAACTGCAAGTCCTTTCATCTTCCATTCGACTTCGTGGTTACGTATAATACTGATCAGTCACTAAATTCGCAATATTTTTTGAAATCAAATCACAGAATCAGACTGATAGAAGTGACATCAGATATTTGATTACTTTAAAAGAATGATGAAGATGCCTACAACGCAGGTGTCCCTACTGTTAAAAACTTAATATCTTCTCAATATTGATTCGTCATTTCTTCTGTCACAGAAAAAAAAGTGTATTTTACACGGGAAAAATATCAGATTTTAGCTCACGGTTTTTGTCTCCCTCCGCTACGCGTCGGGAGACAACACAACCTGGAGTTAAAATCTACTACTCTTTTCCCTTGTATAATAAATAACTATTACGTTGAACGGTGTCCCCATTCAATTAAAAATCGACGTGATTCGTTATATTTTTGTGAAATGAGAGATATGAAGGGTAGATATTCTCAAATGGATGAATAAGTAGCACAGGAAAGGATATTCAGTTTCAATCTTCCCCTGACGATGCTAATGATTGCCGTGCCATTTTTACATTCGGGCGAATCCGCCTCCTCTGATAGTGCTCGCCCTAGACACCAGTCCGGCGCCTTCCATCGACTCCAGATCGGTCCATGCGGCGCCAGTTGCGTCCGCGATCTCATCGGGTCGGTGCCATCATCAGACGGTTGGGCCGTTTAGCGCGTAGTGCGATTTCGTCTAATTGCCCCGTAGAGTTATGGCAGTGGTTTAGAGGAGCAGCAACTTTTTGGCGGTTGATCGAGAGAGTTATGGTGAGTTGAGTGTCGCGGTTGATTTTGATTGTTTGAAACTATTTAATTCATGACAGAAGTCCCAAATGATGTTTAAATTTGTTTTGAGGTATATTTCAACTTGTATAGCTCAGTAAAACGCTAACGATTAGGACCCAATCCGGGAAAAAAATCAAGTAGTAAGTTTCTCTGTGGTTCTATATGTTATTGAAGGTGCTGAATTCGAATCTGAATTTTGCAAACAAAATTTCTTGGAGCGTTGATATCAGCAAAAAACAGCGAAATTCTCGCACTCTATTTGTTTTTTTGCCCGTAACTCGGAAATCATACATTATATCGAAAAAACAGTTCTTTGAAGATTTAAAGTAGATAAAATTTCCCAGATAGAATTGTTCTTGTTCATTGATGTAGGACTGAAGGGTGCGGAGATAGAGCCAGTTGAAAGTTGACAAAATTTTAAAAAAAATTGCGTTTCTCGTCGGTTTTCGTAGATAATCTATATTCTACGTATTACTTAGAATAGCATCATGCACATATTGAGAAAGCATCAAATTTCTTATCGAGCTCATGTAAATTTCGTCATTATTAAAAAAGAAGAACGGCTGTTAGAGCGCTCGGACTTGGAGACGTCTTGTAGTCATCTTTTGTGTTTGTATTCTGTGGGGTGAGGGACAAAAAAATTCTGTACGCTGGAATTATAGTTGGTATGATTGCGATACAATAATTCCGAATGCTATAGGGCATTCTTTGAACATTTTGATGAAGAACTGATGAACTATTCAAACTATCAAAATTACCTATTTTGTGATGAATAAGTATGAGAATCAATTCTCGCTCATATGGGTTCCAAGGCGTCAAGGGAATGAGGCAGCTGATCGCCTGACAAAAAAGTGCAGCCACCTTATCACAGAGCTCAGAAAATGAGAATGAAGTGAAAAATCCTACTACTGTTGAGAAATTCCAGGTAAACGAGAAGGAAAGAGTTCTTCAACAATTCGTTAGCTAGTGAGTCTCAGCAAACAAGAGCTGAAGCACTACCCTTTGAGCTATTACTAAAAAAAATGGGTCTAGAGGAGACTGGCACTACACCGCGGAGCACATAATATGTTAATGTAAAGTTCTAGTCCGCCTAAAGCGGCGTTCACAACCAGACTTTTTACGTTTTGTTTTTTACGTTTCGTATTCTTATTGGTGAAGCAGAATCTAAAATTGAACATGAACTCAACCTATGCAAATGTCATTCACAACAAAAAAAATCAACGTGACTTTTTATGACTCAGTTGCCTTGGTTTTGTTATTTGTTTCTCATCCTGGAATGAAGTAAATAATCATGACCATAATATCGATCAGATAATTAATGATTTTCATAGAACTGGCGGTGACGAAAATTGATCCTCATTCAATACTTGAAGAGAAAAATCAATATTCAACAAGATAATAATGAATTGAACAGTATACCTATCTACTATACGGTGGATTCACGAAAAAATCATGAAAACATTATCATAACTTCCATATTATTACAGAATGTTCCATATTATTCGTCTATTCTTACTATTTTCACAGACGAGACGATGGCTTCTTGCAACGCAAAAAGCTGAATATTTTCAGCTTTTTGCATAATTTCAATTACAGATATAGCTTCACCAATCAGAAAACGAACCGTAAAAAGCAAAACGTAAAAAGTTTGGTTGTGAACGCCGCTTAAGGCTGACTACCCTAGAACAGGTCTAGATAACGAGGAATGCGTAGATTTGGAATTATCTGCGAAAACCGACAAAAAACGCTATTTTTTGAAAAGTACGCAAATTTGGTCAATTTTCAACTGGCTCTATCTCCTCTCTAGTTAAATCTACATCCATGAGCAATGGCAATTATATTTAGGAAATGTTATCTACTTCAACTTTTTATTGAACGGTCTTAATTTTCGAGTAACGGGCAAAAAACGAAAAGAGTCCGAAAATTTTGCTGTTTTTTCAAGAGTATCTCGGAACGCTCCAGGAAATTTTGTTTGCGAAATTCAGATATGATTTCAGCACCTCCAAAAACATGTGGAACCACAGAAAAACCTACTACTTGAATTTTTTCCAGGTGAAAATACCATTTGATTGGACTAGAATGTCACATTTTAGAAAAACAAACCAACAGATGTTAATAATGAGGAGAAATTATTTATATTTATTTTTTCTTCAAAACTATACAGTACGAAATACAAATTTGTTACAGCGGTTCCAGCACTGAGCAGTGAATTGCAAATCGAGAGTTGGTGATACTCAGGTGCGACTATTATTTTTTTCTAGTCGTCAGAAATGTCAGATTGAAATTGCTCTGTCAATAAAAAAGTCGCATTATTGATAGTAGATTGAAAGTACCCATATTTGCTGTCGCTGGTCCACTTAAAATGGATTCATACACCTCTTGTGGTTTCTCCAACGGTTTCTGTGTGAGCACTGCCAGCAGCAGTCTGATGATCTAAGATTTCTGGTTTACAAAGTTTACAAAGTTAGTATTTTTCATCATTACTGTGAATCAACAAGTGAATATTTTTAATACCTGCATATCTGCATAGATTCCTTCAACTATTAGAAGTTTCAGGTCATTTTGAATTATCGGTGAACGTTCTTGTTGTTACGTTTAAAAAAGTACGTATCTCAATTACCATTTCTTCATCATACCTATAGTATCCAAGGAATCTATGCTTTCGGAAATTATTGTAATGAACTTCTAATCAAGCACGGTTCTGAAAGCTCGAACTTTGAGCGGACATCGGGCGAGTTTGAAAGGCAGTAAAAATCATTTCTTGACAAAGGTTCGCTCTTCAAATTATCATTGGATCACGCAAAACGCAAAAAGTTCGAGCTAGTGCGACGAGTAGAAAATGTTATTATTAGTTTCACCAAAAAACAGCTCTGAAGATACAATTTCAGAATCTTGTTGCTTCCTCGGTTGCTTCATAACTTTGAAACGGCACAAGAGATTTCACTCGAAATTAGTGAGTTGACTTAGCTTCATGTAGCAATTAAACCCATAATTATGATGAAGATATCCTAGTATTGGCATAGAACTCGATTTTCTCAGACTATGATGATGAAAAATGTGTTTGGCGAAAAAAATACAGGGATTTTCAGTATGAACTTTGGATTGCATAACTCATTCACCACAAAAATAGTACTGCAGTGATGAAATTGAAATTGTTGTTGATTAATACCTTTGCGTGCGATTCCGTCTAATTGTCCCGTAGAGTTATGGCGGTGGTTTAGAGGAGCAGCAACTTTTTGGCGGTTAATCGAGGAAGTTATGGAGAGTTGAGAGTCGCGGTTATTCAGGTAGGAATAAGTAAAAATACTCAATATAAATTATACTGTCAATGAAGATCTTGCTGAAATCACAGCCTGGGGAACCAACAACCTAGTTGAATTCAACGCCACCAAAACTCAAGCCTGCATTTTCTCTAGAAAGGCGAAACTCAGTATGCCCGATATTGTAATGTCTGGCACCACCATCCCCACCAAGCCCACCATACCTATGCTCGGTATTTCCATCAGCAACACTCTTTCATGGGATAATCATGTCAGATCCATCGCAAAAGCTGCTTCACAAAAACTCGGATTCTTGTTCCGTGCGAAAAGCTACTTTACACCTCAACAGCGCCTCATGATCTACAAAGCGCAGATACGGCCTGTTCTAGTATACTGTTCCCACATATGGGGTTCAGCACCAAAACATACGCTAATGCTCTTAGATTCCATCCAGAGAAGAGCCATTCGCCTGGTGGGTGACGCCACACTCACTCACTCTTTGACATCATTGGAACACCGTAGAAAGGTCGGCGACCTTTCACTTTTCTATCGATACTTCCACGGAAAATGTTCTTCGGAAATCTCTGCTATCATCCCTTCACTAGCAATACCAATCAGACGAACTAGACAAGCCTAGTCAGCACATCCTTTCGTTGTCAACCTCGAAAGATGTCGAACAGCACTTTATCAAGACTCTTTCATCCATAGAACGGCTAGGCTCTGGAATTCATTGCCTGTGGAAGTATTCCCCACAACATATAATCTCCAAAAGTTCAAAAAAAATTCCAATACCTACCTCCTGTCCCTATCCTATCTAGGAACGCACGATGTTCTCTGAACATTAGAGGGATTCCCTTCCGTGCGCTCCAAGCGATAAAAAAAAAAGATGAACATTTCAATCATATTTCAGCGGAAAAATAACTTTTGTACACGACAATATCGGGAAAAATTGAAAAATATACACTTTGGATTGTGAACGCAAAACGGCTCTGATGTTATAATTTCGAAATCGTGTTCGCTTTATAACTTCGAAACGGCACATAAGATTTCACTCAAACTTGAAACATGTAGCGATCGCACCCATTATGATCATGATGATGTCGTCGAGATTTTTATTTTTCAGATAATAAATATTTTCTTTGCCAAAGAAAATACAGGGTTCTTTAGTAGATACGAGTTCTTATATTGCATAGCTCATTCAATACGGAAGTGGGTTCTTACTAGTAATGAAATTGAAGTTGTTGATGCTTTGACCTTTGCGTACGAATTCTTGTGGTGGTACAGAAGAGCAAAAACTTTTCAGCGGTTTACCTATAGAAAGAGTTGTGAGGAGTTGAAGTTGAGTGTCGCGGTTATGTATAGGTACTTGTCGATGTTCATGTCGAATCAATGGATTGTACGAAACTTCTTAATTCTGAAGAGTGCTGATAGCAATGGGCTTATATCACAAAAAAAATTATTTTATAATTCGATAGAACTCACCCAAACTAGCTCACCACCGCAAACCGTTTCTTGCTGTGAGCTCCCTATGTTTTATAAAAAATTATTGAAATCCCCGATTTTTCAGACCTCTGAAAACGAGGCGATGATGTGACGTCAAAACCCTAATACTTAAACAAGACTATTCCAGACAGAGATGAATGATACATGATTTCTGACAGAGTGAATTAGCGCGAGATCACAGTTGAAAGAATTAATATATTAGTTGCCTCAGTCTCCGTC